CAAAACACATTCCTTGATACTATCGCCACAAGATTCGACGGGACACGTGAGTGCAGCTTCCTATGATACCATTATCATGAAACCTTGTCCCAGGACATCAGGGAATACCCTGGGGTAAGCAGATATGCTTCTCTCTTGCTTAGAGGCACTTCACGTATGCCAGCCGTAGCACAGGTCACCCTGAAAGCCAACGACTTGTAGGCGTCAGCCATTTCCTAATTGTCATGGAAGTGAAGTAAACGTATGAAATGCATTGACAGAATCGATCGAAGCTTCAACCTATAGGACCACGCAATCATTCGAAATAAGAAGAAAGAAATAGCATTTCGGCTGTTCTGAAAGTGAATAATCATATACTAGTATATGCATGGAAGAGAATCCCAAGAAAAAAGTTGGGGGTTTCGCAACAGTTTATTAATTAATTGGCAAAGAGAATTTTCTCCTTCCATAAATATAAATATAGTCCTCTGAAGTAAAAAATGAGAGGGTGAAGCATGATTTTGGCGCGAATTCTTTCGCCCCATACATTCACCCCATACATACCATTGAAGGCCTGGCCTCTCCTGTCATCACTATATCAAGAAATTCTGGCCAGGTTCCAGGTTCATGCTGCTCAACGATAGCTCAAATGTATGGCATAAAAAAATTTGAGGGTCTCACCGAGCTATATTTGCTGCCAAATGCTTGGAGATAAATAATTTCTGGGTGCCTTAGTTGGAACTGGAACTGGACCGCATTCGTAGCAGAAATTTATGCCCGTTCCCTTTTTCTTAGCAGACACACAGTTTGCAGAAAAACATATAGGATAACAGAGAAGTATCGGCTTGTCTCAATTTGCAGGAAAGCATGCAAGGCGTGCACCTCAAACTCAGTCGCTGACCATTTGCAATGTCTTGAGAACTTGGATGATGCAGACATTTATAATGCCAGGTCGTCACCATTGTCATAGTTACAGTCAACTGTGAAAATCGAATGGTAAGCGTACCATATCTGTAACTGATAAAATTGGACTCGGGGATTTTATGGCATCTTTTTTTCGAATAGATTTTGGTTTTAGCCCCGTATTTAATCTCGTCGTGAAATCGCACATTCAGGTTCCTTTACGACTTAGTTCAAAACGAATGATGATGGAAATACAGAGTGACCCAGAAGTCGCGCAACCCAAAATAAATCGTACCATGACCAAAAGAAACAGCGCAGAAACTTTTATTTTTCCGGAACCAAGTTGCACTTTCGTCCATGACTTCCGTTGGAAGGCTCAGTGGTAGTTGTTCGCACAGCCCTGTACAAGGTGTGCATAATGGCGTATGGCAGGTGTTCGCAAGAAGTACAATACCGGCCTATACTTATTTTGGGTTGCATGACTTTTCGATCACCCTGTATAATGTAAGACAGCAAACATGACATAAAATGCCAACGAATGAATCAAGCTCGAGTAGTGGAAAACACAGGCGGAAAAGGATTGTATCCGCCCGCATTCGAGCAGAGTCCATTCTTGCGTCAAGAAGGGTATTAAGTACTGACCATGAGAGCCACGCGGAGGGACGGCGTTTTTACTCACTCCGAAAGGAATCGCTCATTCGATATGCTGTGTGGTGCAAACCCCTTGCTTTGAAGGAGTGAATAACGCACACCTCAGAAAGCGGAGAAATTGTGATTTCGATGTAATCTATCGTTGATGGAGAGATAGAGATGGATGTTTCGTTTTATGGCTTTCTAAGTCAAACGTGGTAATAAGAAAGTCAAATGCGACAAGGAAATTCAAATGCGTCGCTGCGCTGCATGGGAGCATCAAAAGCGACACAAGGAAAAGCAAATGCATCGCTGTACTAGATGTCGGATTTTAGAGGAAAGCATGTTCGGCACAAGGAAAGTGAAATGCGACAGTCCTATCTCTCGGTCGCACCTGGAGACAGGTGTCCTATCGTTGCATTTCCATTACGCACATTTACACGTGTAACGGAAAGGCTACGTTCCATGAGGAAATTCGCTAATGAATTTGTATGTGATGTCACAATTACATTTATCGTACTGGCAACGTTTCACACCAGATCATGTAGAATGAAAGTTATCGGTTGCAGGAATAGATGCCAATAATGTATGCTGTCATCGATTGAGTGATATTGAGTGATTTGTGGTGAATGAATTGAGTGATATGAATTAACAGTCAAGTTGTCATGAAATTGGCGATCACTTTTGATTTCCATGTCAAACATACTATTCTTCCGAGTCCAGCATCCATCAAGCATGTCTCGTTTGATTTTCCTGATGTCACCTTTGACTCCCATCCATGACAGTCTCGCATTTGAATTTCATGTTGCATGTTGCTAGCTTGTTTGCGTATCGGACACGGAGATTTGCACTTGTGATAGCACGCTTTCATTCTTTACGATGCAAAAAGAGACACTGTCAGAACGGTAACAGCAAAAGTGGGATTGCATGTAAATGCATTTGTGGGTGTCTGTCAGCTGTCGCATTTCACTTTTCTTACGTCGAACATGTTTTTCTCTAAAATCCGACATCTACCACAGCGACGACTTTGATATTCCTTATGTCGCTTTTGAGGATCCCATGCAGCACCGAGGCGCATTTTTATTTCCTGGTCATATTTGTCTCCCTTGCGTCCGTATTTGATTTTAAAAACCTGCAATGGGATCTGTGTGTTTCGATTGGTGGACTGACAGCATTGAAGGCTTGAGGGACCTCGAAATGGGGGAGCACAAACGGAGATAGTTTGATTACGTGAAAATAAGTACAACTCGATCCTGAGAAAAAACGAGACATTAATGTCAGACCAAGCGCCATAGGAACGTAATTCGAGCGAGGACGGATGGGTGAAACTTATCAATATCGTTATTGACGATACCATCTCCTTCCTGTTTTTGTTCGCGGTCTCCGCAACTTCATGAAAGAGCCGATGAGAATGAATCTCTCACCGACACAAGCTATCCATGAGGATGTTCCAATTGATATGGAGGCCTTTTTTTATTATTTACAGAATACACCTCGTTTCTGCCGACTGCACAAAAAAGTACAGTGGAAACTCGTCAACTCAAACTTTTAAGGGACCGAGCAAATCGTTTCGATTCATCCAAAATTCGACTTATCAGGAATCACCTCTACCTTTAAAAAAAAAATCTCAGGTTAAGGGACATAACCAGAGAGAGATTTTTTCCGTCCACATAAATCCGATTTCAAGTAGCGATGACCTTTTCATTATCATTGGCTTTTATTCATCTGTACGGAAACTTTGATACTCTACATGCAATATTCATTCATCACAAGGTCTTCTATCCGCTACTTTTTCGGTTTTATCCTTAGTTGGCACGAAATCAGTAATCTTCGTTCGAGGAATCTAAAGGAATTAGCAATGGAGAAATGAAAGTCTTCCAATTTGCTAATTGCCCCGAACAAGTCGACTGAAACTTCTCGTGAAAGGAGGAATATAATTTTCTCACAACCGACAGTGCTTCCTTGGCATCGCTCAAAGAAGGTGGTGGAGCATTGTATTTCGCCTCCTGCTCTCCATCACTCTCATTCCAGGGCTCACTCTCATGTGAGCGATCTTTGATGTCGGCGATGATGGATGCCTCAATGATCGAGCCAGTCACAGAGGCATCCCTTTCACCCTACTCAAGAAATCGATAAGTTCGGCAAAAAGAATTTTCTCTCCTCACCCCGAATCCGAGTTAACGTCGAGTTAACTATGGGAAATCGTGATCGGGAATGAAGAAGTGATTCGAGATATCTGGAAATTCGAGATAAGCGAATTCGAACATTTAGCACGGCGTCCTACGGGATTCCGCCGGGACCAAGCATTGAACTTGGAGATAAGCGGAATTTCGACTTATCCGGATTTGAGTTAATGAGTTTCCCCTGTATTTGTAAGAGATGAGGCAGGTGAGAAGGTGAGAAGGTGAGAAGGGTTTAGCGATCTGGCGCGGAACTATTGAGTTCACCAGTGGAAGAAAAGTGATTGTGCCGTCAGATATTTAGAAAAAGTATTCTTATTGGTGAACATGGTACTGTCAGCTTACCACGTAGGCAAGAGAAAGAAATCAAGCTAATAGTGAACGTCAATCGGTTGCAGAGCTGGCAGGCTTCGTTCATCGTACGAGGGTGCCTCCGTGGCACAAGATTTTTGGCGCGAGGAAACAATAATGCCTGGGTATGTCATTTTGCATCATCCTTCCTCTTCGAAGATCAATACGCATGGGCGCGTGAATACATGCGGCGTAAAGCAAGCTATTTCCTTCCTCATATCCTTTGGTACTCTGCCGTGCTTCTCAATAATGGCACATCCTGGCATTGATAGATCTTTTTAGGCTTCTCTTCAACATCTCCCTCCCTACATTGGCCCTCAGTTTCTCCCTAAGACAAAAGGGAAACCACTCAGAGGGGAGATGTTATCATACATCTGAATGAGAGCATTAAAAAAATACATATGAGAAGGGCATTACTAAATATGACGGGGAAAGATGAAGGAAAAGCCGAGATCAGAATCAGTTGAAGAAGGAGTCATGGAAGGGGATGAAGGCGGGAGGCTATTTTATTGCGTTTCTTCCTTTCCCCATCAGAGAAATACAATCCCTGGCTAGGACAGGGATGCAATAAATTACCTGCTCCCCCATGATATCACGAACAACACACGTATTTCCTAGCGACATAGATAGTGCTGGTGCTACTGATTGTACGCGAGAGAAAATTACTTGACATTTGAAAGTCCTAGGAGGGGAATCCGAGAATTTCCTGTCTGATCCGTAAGAGAAAGACATTTCAGTAAGAGGTTTAGTAAGCAAGTTATATTTCCTTAGAGATAATAAAAAAAGTAGTAGGATTACGTCGGCCCTCTACATCGTCTATCGCCAGGCTTATCACAAAATACCTCACCATCTGATTGGTTATCTCAGCATTGGGAAACATCAGTCCCTGAGCGGTTCCTTGTTCTGAGGGAATAGATGACCATCACATGCATGTGACAAGATCGGGGGATAGGGTGGATGCAGCAAAATCTCCCACCAAGGAACAAGTGCATCTCCTTCAGTCCCTGTTATCAGTTTGTCCCTAAATTGCCACAGAGGAGGTTGAGTCTTGCTTACATGAGCTCTGGGTACTTTTGGTTGAGGTCTGGATGGACTTTCCCCCCGCAGGCCTTCCTGGTAGTAGTTGCCATTCATCATCGTACCCACAGGAACTGTGAGTCTAAGGGGGAAAGTCCGCAAAAAGTTTAACCTCTTAGTGCTTCATTCTACATAACAACTAAAGATCATACGATGCAAGAGCAGGATTATAATTGTCTAAGGACTAAAAACAGAAGGTGATCGACAGAAAAGAGGTGGATAGAAAAGTGAAGTAAACGTTTCATAGGTGCCATATTGAATATGAGTGAGATTTCGATTTGAAGGCTTTCTCAATGTGTACAACAGCCTTGATTGCTTCCTGGCTTTTGACCATTTTTCCCCGCTCATATGCAATAATAGGCAATAATAATTGAGTGTTCACATTAACTAAAATGACGATCTTCAATGATCTGATATTCTGCTGTCGGAGACAACTGGGAACGGGAACGTTCCTCATCTAGGTATATCAATCTTAGAAACGGATAATCGAATGCGTTTGTAAGTGCTGATCCAATCGAAATCGGAAGACATCTGCTCATACCTGGAGGCCAACAGCAGCACGAACGGGAAAAGAAACGAAGGTGTCCTTGGGAGGTGGGGAGGCATGGTCTCCGATAACAGATCACATCCTTAGAGTTTTTCTGTCACCATGGTTACCAATCCCTGTGAACTGACAAACCCCTGTCTTTTAATGACACTTCCAGCGCGCATTACCGATAAAAAGACAGGCGTAGAGGCGACATGTAAGACATAACAAATCTTTTCTTTTCCGAAAGAGAACGGATTGATGCAGGATTGAGGCAGGGTTGACGTCCTGCACCAATGACACATTCTCGCATTTTAGAGTTTACCAAATCTTGTCCGCTGGCCAGAAACGAGGGGAATGGGATAGCGTCATCAATTGCGTCATAGATACGAGAGAGGAAATGGATGTTCCGTAGTACCCTTTGTTCGACGTTGCGTTCCCGTTTTCATCTTGATTCCGCAAACCCTCTATTTTGAGCAGAACGGGTCAGAGAACCTGAAGGTGCGGAGTATGCGAAGCTCTAAAGCAGGGGTCGGGAACCTATGGCTCATGAACCAAATTTGGCTCACGAGCCGAAAAGTTTGGCTCATTGAGTCATGGCTGAAAATCTGGTTGTTCCTCATTTTTCTCATGTATCAAAGAATGCATGTCTTTTGCCAACTTCATGAAAAATTCTGTTGTTCTGGAAATCTTTCTCTCACAAGCACTCAGCTCAATCTTAATTTGGCTCACATGGTCAAAAAGGTTCCCCACCCCTGCTCTAAAGTAAGGTAGTCTGGAACGTAAAGCGAAGGGAGCATTAGCTGAGCTTGAACCTATTCGTATTCCCCCGGCAGAGACAGAGGAATGAAGCGGAAGAATCAGGGAGGGGAAGCGAGTGCTCAAAGGATCCCCCTTACCCTGGCCTGGAATAGATAGGATTCCTACGCCTGGGACTACTCGAGATATTACCTCCATCAATTCGATGACCCAATATCAATTACCTGATGAACTGAATTATTTCCTTGCGCAGGAGGCACAGAGACATGGCAAATCATCCTAAAGATCATCTTCATGCGCAGACCTACCAATGCATTCACATGCGAGCTTTTCTTTCCGATCATATCTGCTGCATTCCAGCTGGAAGTCTACTGGGTAGGCTGTCGGGGAAAAGAGGGAATTGTATTCTGCCTAAAGCGACAGGAAACGGAGAGGCATGTGCCAAGAACGTCACCATCAGACCGCCATGCGCATATTTCTGCCACTTGATCATTCTCTGCACACGCAGCCTCATTGCAGCATTTACTTGGGCTTTACATTCAACCCTTTCAGCCAAATTCTTGCTTGCCCATACTGAATCTTCGAGTATTGGTCACCTGGTCATCATCAAATTATGTTGAACTGCTTCCTATAATTTCGGAGAATTTTAGAACATACCATGCAAAAATAGAAGATTGCAAGAAGTCAAGAAGGCTTTTCCCGACCGTATTGACTTCTCTAATTAATACTTTTAAACAAAACTTTCACATGCCCAGTTACAGTGCTAGACCTGTCGTGGCAAATTTCGTCTATCTAATAATCATAGTTTTGATGATAATTTTGAATTTCAGCGCATCCATAGATTCATTCAAAGAGTGTAACCTATTTTCCTTATTTCATTTGGACACGGTAAAAAAAAGCATGTTACCCTTAATATCGAAGAAAACTATTGGGAAAGCCAGAGTGCAAAATGTGTGGTGGTTGCTTCTGTCATTACAGACAGCAACTTCGTGCTGGGGAACGCCCAAGTCCTTCCTGTGTATCCTATCGTCTACTGCTCCGATGGTTTCTGCGAGCTTACTGGATGGGCGAGGGCGCAAATCATGCAGAAGGGCTGCGCCTGTAAATTTCTTTATGGACCCGAGACGGACGAGGAGCATAAGGGTCAAATCGAAAAGGCTTTGGAGAGCAAAACTGAACTAAAGATGGAGGTGATGTTCTACAAGAAAAACGGTGAGTCGTGGCCACTATCTCTAGACATTACGAGGTACACTCTAGGAGTGCTTTTGTGATTCACCTGACTTCGAATGTGCTTTGACATAAAGGAAGAAGGTGGGGTGTAATGTCTCCAGGGAGCCGTTAGAAAGGGCCTTGTGATTAAAAAAAGAGCGGCGGAAGCGATGCCGAGTAGCATGGGGTCGTTTGAGTCAAAGTCTCACTTTCATTTGTTTCTCAGTTGCCGAGAAAAAATACGCTTCCTTGTCAAATTCGAGATGTTTCTTTGCACTAGTATTTTTTAAAACGAGTTTGATGCGTTCCATGAGTGATCCACAACCTAACCTCCAATATGCCCTTCGTTGATGGTGCCCTTAATGATGATGTGCACTCGAGAGGAAAACCTCAGCTTTTTATTATTTCCTCCCTTGACTCTGTGTATTTTTCGTTTTTAGCCGTTCTTGTGCCTATGGATGTGCTAACAAAAACTAGGCTTGTCTTCGGATTCTCACCCTTTCCCTGTGTGCTCTTTCTCTCGCAACCAACTTAATTATCCTCGAAGCTTATGTGATTAGGGCGCTTAATAATATCTTGTCTTCTCCTTTCCCTCCTTTCCTCGATGAAGAGTGATGTCTATGTATTCGTCCGAATTAGTTTAGACTCTGCGGGTTACCTCCCTTTCGTGGAAATTTTCATGGAACGAACTGTAAAAAAAAAAGAGGAGTGGAGGGGGGGATTTGTATAGCTGAACTCCGGACGCAACTTTTATATACGACTCGTATGTTAACCCTGTCCCCGTGACCTTTATTCAAATTACCTCCCCGACCCATGTCGATCTGCACGTATTCGTGAATTACGTTAAATTCAAGACATGCAGTTACGTCACTATAGCGGTAGCTCCTTCAACAAAATTGAAATGGATATGAAAAGTATCGTGTAACGGTGGGATCAATGCTCAATGCGGAGCGGAAGAACTTCGAATCAAGTCTACGGAATAGGGTAAAAAAAAAAAAAATTCCCAGGCTTCATTTGACCCTCCCTTGCTCTTAGGGTAGAGAGATGTTACGAGAATGCGGATCATCGATTGTGGGAAGCGAATGATGTGGAAGGTAGTGGCAGCTGAGAGATGAACAAGACAGGAGAGCATTGAATGAGATTCATCCATTATGAATCGCGTGTCAGTACATTTTGAGCAGTGGAGCAAAAACCGATTTGCCCTAGTCAGTTTCTTCTTTGAGAGAGGAACCTTTCGTATCCGTCCCTGAAGTGCCATCGAGAAAATCACTTCATGTCACTCTATAGTGCTTGTCATGTTCCATATTCCGTGTGCGATATGGAACTCACAGGTATCGAATAAACTCGGTAAATTGCTTTACTTGCCGCGAAATGTCATCTTCGCCTGCAGGGATTTCTTGATTGCTCTTTGCAGTTTTCGCATTTCATCGAGCGCATTTCGAATCTGCTCGGGGGTAAAAGCTTTCAATTCGATAGTGTCGAAAGGTGCCGATTTTTGGAGTTCTTGATCTCCTTTCATGGAAAAGTGGGTGACCTCGAGTTCCCACCAAATTATTAAAGCAACCTAGCAACCAACGTAAGAGAAAAGAAGGGATATCCAAAGATGAATCCAAGGTTCTTGAGGAGTTATCGGCAACGGGTTGCTGTGGCCATGGATCTCTTTATACGCTCATTCAACCCCAATCAATGGGTTTACTCATGGTGTTAAACACGGGGGAGGGGGGTGGAGTTCCCATTAAGGGAAAGATAAACTGAATCCTTTCACCCCACACTCCTCTCATACCAATGATCTTTCCAAGGTCTCGTGACCCCAATCTCTGGCGTTTTTCTTTCTTTCATTGAGTTCCTGATAGGAATCGTGATGCTGAAGCTCTTTCAATGATCATCAGCTTCTTAAAAATTAACAATGTCTGATTGGTTCATCTTGGAGACTATTTTCGTAAATGACGGATGGGAGGAAATCCAGTCAATTCGGACTCTGGATTTAGGACAATGATAAAGGGATGGAGAAATCGGATTGAAAGGGTGTGATGTAGATGCCGTTTTTTCAGCAGGAGGCTCCCTGAGTTACTCGTAGGTCTATTGAAGAAGAACCCCTGCGAGCATATTTTCTTATCTTTCTCTCGGTGGGGTAGGCTCCGTGCTGATTTCCTGTCTCCTTTCTTTTTTCGTATTATGAATAGAGTACGTTAAACGGATAGCACGGACCAGTCATAGTTACGACAAAAAGAACTCTTACACACAAATTACATTCGCTGGAATCAGAAAAAAATCAACTGTCAAGCCGTACTCGATGAATGGAAGAGAAACGGTATTGGAGGAGAATGACATTCTCCAAGCAAAACTAGTCAGTCTGGAAGACTCTATTGATTCGTTTCCTCTAGCCAAGCACGCTGCCAAGCCCGACTCTCAATCCTTCAAACGAAATGACAGGACTTTGATCCGTCAGAAACAGTTTCATCTCATTCTCCTCGAACGCCCACTTCGAAATTTAACGGAACAGTTCCACGATCACCATTACAAGTCCTGGCTTACTATCATCACTATCGTGCTGCTGCCCTCTAATTTTCAGCTCTCATGAGTTGGTGAGCATTTGCCACTCATTTCAAAGGTGATCTTTGTTTTAACCACCAGAATCTACTCAAGTTTGAAGCTGTCTGCGTCGCTAAAAGTAGCAGTTGGCTTTGATTGCAAACCTCTTCTTGAGTCTGAGGTTCTTTATTGATCTGAAAATCCCATCAGTCACGCACATAACCAATCAACCTACTACTAATGACATTGCGTTATAGCTCATTTTAAGTAGGGTAATTTGGGGGAATATGGCCCTACAAAATGAAACCTGGTCATCATGGCCCATCAAGGTTGAATTTGACTTTTACAATGTTTCTAAAATATTGATTGATATCTCTTTTGCTAAATGCCAGCAAGGCGTATGCAAAAAAAACCCATGGTTATGGCCCCTTTGGGTCTTTTTCGAGTAGGTCTCAAGAGGCCATATTAAACCTATAGTTGGGAGAATATGACCACTTCTGAAAAAATAACTCCAGGGTGTCCAGGAACGTGTGAAATATGCTGGAACATGCTGAGTACCTTGAAACTTGCTAAAGGACTCTCAGCAGTTGAAAAAGAAACATTAACTGCACCGAGGACAAAACAAAGAAGTCGACATCATTACCTGACTCGAGGAACCGTTGTGGAAAACAGGATTACAACGCTTTTGCTTTTGAGTAACGATGCACGTGATTGGGAGACAATATCTAAAGACTGTGTGTGTGTAAGAGGAGTGATCAAGCATAGACTATGCGCTACGAGTGCAAAATAAGAGGTCTTACATTGCAGGAAAAATGTTGCGTTGTTTTTGCATGTATGGATAAATAGTGCCAAAAATCACAGAATGCCCTATTTTTACAAGGGATATTTACTTGCATTCAAGTTTCGTGCAACAAAAATTTCTGGAAAATNGGGATATTTACTTGCATTCAAGTTTCGTGCAACAAAAATTTCTGGAGAATGTCAAGCGATGCAGAAGGAGGTGCATAAGCTTACCCTCATGCACGACCTCCTCATGTACTGCATATTTCGTCCAGATGTCCAGTAAGTCTATCCATATATCCAGAGGAAGTGCATTGGATGATCTCTTGCAGTCTGAGATCCCACACGAAAGGAAGCTGACACTATCAATAGGTCTGTGCGGTGCTAACATAAAATGAAGGATGTGTCCATATTGCCCCAAATCGAGATGGCCATATTTCCCCATATTGGCTCGCATTAAAAAATTGACAACACTGCCTACAAACCGCAAGTGAAGGGGCTAGCACTTTGCACAAGCATTCTGGAGAGACCATAGAAGAACTTAGACGTAATGGTTTCTGTATCCATGCTGCTTTTAGGAAATTTACGCCTATGTTGCTCAAGGCTCACATTAGTTTCAGGGTCATGAGTCGAAGAATCGCATGCATATGACTTTCAAGATGTCGATGTATCCCGAATTCCTGTGAGAACTGGGTCGATGAACAGGTCTAAACATTTCGATAATTGCATGTACTCTTCGATAGAATTATTTTTTAAATTCAGCCAAACTAATTATTCAGTCTATAAAGGGATTCCTTGTGAAGGGCCATATTACCCCAATGGCCATATTCCCCCAAGTTACCCTATGCGGATATAGCTTTTTTTACTGTGGAAAACTTGTCGCGACCCACCTTGAAGCCCTTCGGGACCCACAGTTTGGGAACCGCTGCTCTACATGTCCACCATTGTTGTTGGTGCACTTTTAGGCGTTCTTTCCATTCATTCTAAACTTTTTCTAAGTTTGGCATGGCGCAATTCGAGAGCAGAATATAAAAGCAAATTATTATTAATTCTATAATTAATTCCTCCTATGTTTCCTCTTAAAGGGGACACCCTGTAGATACGTAATGAAACTACTGGGTGGGCTAAAAAAAAACTTCGGTTATCTTGATCACTCCACAGCACTGGTCCCCAAGAGTTTGCTAAAATTGCAATAGCGCCTTCGTATAGAACATGCATTCAACTTCCCAATGATGTCAACAGAATAAAGTTTCGTGTCATAACTTCCATGCAGTTAGGTAAAGAGTACAAATGGTGGTGCGGGAAATGTGAGAACGCCTTGGCAAGACTGCGAATGTGCAAGCGAAGGAATGGACGTCACCTGGAGCACATCTTACATGGTTCTGGTGAGTGTACTTTTCAAGCATCGCCTCTATTTCTCTGTGCATAACTGCATCGGAATGACGGAATGAATCTTAAATCTTTTGACAGCAGTGGAAAGCTAGATAAATTTCTATATAGAGACGCTATTGCAAAGTTTTCAAACTCTCGAGAAACTACGCTGTGAAGCGTTAAAGATAACCAAATATTTTTGTTGGCCCACTCTGTACATGACATCGGTGTCCCCATTCAACGAAGGGCATCGAAGAAAAGACATTCAGGACCTTCCTAGTATTCCTGAAAATATGTCTCATTCGAAGAGATCCATTGATTAGGAAATGATTAATCCCTCCGAGTCTCATTGAGATGGTCAAGAGAGAACAGTCCCATTGCGTTCTCCGTACTATTCGTCCCAATTGTTTGATGAGTCGGACTTACGAGCGATATTCTTCACTTGACATTATGAGGTGGTTTTGGTTTGAACTGCATCAGTAAAAGAATCTTCCAAGAACCCCCCCATTAGAACCAAATTTTGGGAGAGGAACGGATTTCTCGGAGGGATAGCAAAAGTAACTCGCGGTTCCAAGGGCCTTATGGCCTTATGGAATATCAATATTCCTTCTACATATTCTCCTTCCTTAGTCTGGAAGACTCATATCATGGCTGTAAGGGGGGTAAGGAAGAATTTCCCAACTGTACTTGGCCAATAAATCAGTCACTACCTTACTAACGTGTGGCCTGGCATTGTCATGGAGGATGATACTGTTGGTGGGGTTCCGGGCGATTGTGGTGCATTTTTCTTTTGTGAAGATGCTGTGTGAGAATGCGAAACACTGATGCGGTTGATATCCCAGTAGCTTGAGAGATTTCCTCACAGGTCATTCGACGATCCTCTTCAATCACATTGGCCACACGTTGCACAGATTCGTCCGTTATTGCACAAACTAGTCTGCCAGACCTTGGATCGTCATTTATGCTCTCCCGCCCACAACGAAAACGTGAGGCCCAACGAGACACTGTGCTCCGGTCTACTGCATCACTTCCACACACATCCACAAGAACAGCGTGAATTTCTGTGGGAGTTTTATTGCGCAAAGCTTCAATTTCAATGTATGATCGCTGATCGTCTCGTGTCACAGTACCCGTAAACTTTGCACTGGCCATTTTGATAGTTTACTGTTTCTAAAATGCAGCACTTAGAGCAACAAGATTCGGCGTTAAAACACTCATAGCCTCAAACTACAACTGAGACAAAAATGGCTGCCATAACATCATCCAGTATTCAGTGTTGCCAACCTGTGCAGAATTTGTGAAATGCCCCTCATATTATACAATATATTATACAACGTATCATCTATTATACAACGGATAGCAAAACAGGATATATCCTGTTTTGCAGTCGAAACGCGATTGGAAGCGAAACGGAGGCATTCGATTGGAGCACTTGGATCCGAACGTGCAGATAATGTGCATTTCGACCTCTATCGGCGACATCGGCTCAGCACACAAACAAGCTGAATCACGGAGAGACAGGGACGTCTCCGGATCATGACGTTCGCTATCGCACGCCGACGTTCGTCACTATCATCGCTACCACCGACAGCCGACATGAGACATACGCTCGTGTCCGATTTCATTTTTCGAGTCTTGTTCCTATCGTCAGATTTCCTTCTCTGTGAACGTTCCCGGGAATTGTTCGGCATCGCAATTCCTGGTGGGTGAGCCTACTGATAATCGATTTATTGACGAGCCGACATTCCTTATATTCCTTCTTTAGAATAACATCGGATCGGCTCGTGGAAGATGAGAACTGATAAAAACTAGGTGATGCAAAGAAACGCGTCCTGTTTGACGCTTTATATAAACCTACCGTAGAAATGCAAGATTTGTGATAAGAAAACACTACTGTTTGTTTCATGAAAGCTTTAAAGTCTCTCGATTTTTTTTGGTAAATAGCAAAAGTCGTTGAAACTTGGATAAGATAAATCCGCTTTCACGAATCTGGCAGCAGCGGTTTCAACAGTGTTTTACAGGTGAGCCTCATCTGTCGCCAAAAATCTCTGCTTCTCGCGGCTGCAATCTTATGGCAATGTTCTTGGCTGTACCGCGTCATCATATCGCATCTGACAAAGGAAAAGTCACGACGTAGAAGATGTACATTTAAAAGAGCTGGAGAGGGAAGAGAAGAGAAGAGAACCCTTGATTTCGTAGGAAATTCTGACGCTTCTCTTCCGTCTCCGATCTCTTTCCTGAAAACGCACGACCGCATTCAGGCCTCGCCGTCTCAATTGAAGCATAAAGACACTGCACAATCAAGAATACTGTGACGAGGACTCGGTTTAAAAGGCGGACTTCATGGCGTCAAAGGAGACAAATCTTTTGAGTTGTTCTGAAACTGCGACTAATGCATGCGAGGAAAAAGTTAAATATTCTGACTACAGTTTGAATGATGGTTCATTTTTATCCAAGCAACCTAGACGCTTTGAACTTTCAGTAAACAAATTTTGTAGTGTTTCCACTGGGATGCAAAAAAAAATACGAACATATCAATAGATTTCATGAGGCGTCAAACGACGCGTTTTTTTGTGGGGGGGGGGGGGGGGGGGGGGGGGCCCCCGTTTTTTTTTTATTTTGGTGGGGGGGGGGGGGGGGGGGGGGGGGGGGGTCACCCGATATATTTTAACTTGAGAATAGGGACAGAATAGGAAACATTCACGATATTGTTTGTGGCCCTCACCACGATCTTACATCCAAAATTTTCTATACCTTTCATAGGTGACGATTTGTAAGTTATTGTTTATGAGAAAATTGTAACTGCACTTCAACGCTCTTTTTGTTGTTTGCATAATTACTATTTTTTCTTATTGTAATGATAGCCCTTTCTAAGAAACAAAGACTCAACCAATCCTGAAAAATGCGCAGAGAACCCTCAATTAGTAGCGAATAGATTCTGCTTCTCTAGCATGACGTTGCTGCAGAATCTGGAAGCTCAAAATACTAGTTTCTCCTCCGATCGTGAATACTGCCATACGCTATTCACGACATACGTAACTCGGATTTCTGGATTACCTTGGAATCGCGTTTATTTCTCAATCCCTGACAAATGAATACAAATGAGGTGATCATAACGAGTATTCATGAAGTTGTTATTGCAAGGAAGATAGATAGATCCATGAGGAGGCAAATATGAAAGCCGAGTCACCCTGTCTCATAACAGGATGTAGAGTCATGGACCCGAGGTGAAAAATGACATCTCACTCGGTTATCCATTTATTCCCGATAAATTATCATTGTTAATTGGTATCATCTCTAACCAATTATTTAATATTTGTTCCCCCCTCTAACTTTCCCAGAATCGTTGACTTTCGGAGATACGCCCAGCAAGCTGCTCTCACCCTCCGACGAAGAACGGCGCTTGCGGAAAACTTTGCCGGTGAGATCTTCTAATACGAACTTCTTTCTCCAAGTGAAATTCATTTTTGCTCTCAGTGTAAAAATGAATAATAATGGATTTCTCTCTCTTCCTCCTTTATGCTTTTTGTCTTCTCGGACTACATTCGAAATGTCACATTTTCACAGTCTTATCGTTGTGTGAAAGAAACGTCCAGAAGGAAGAGGAAATATTTCGAAGGAAAAATATTCCTCAAGTTAGTTATATGAACTGTTCGTTCATCGAATAATGGTTACCCACGTACACATCGTTATTGGTACATGTCTGCTCGTGTACTTCTCAATTTCGAAACATTATTAGGTGAATGCACTAAAGGTATCCCTTCGGTCATGAGTATTAGGCCACCTCTCAGGGTTCAGGTTGAGAACCATTTTTTTTTTAAGCTACACGCCTCGTTCTATACGAACTATATCCTGAAGATATATGGTGGGTTCTTGTACTCCCTTTTAGTCCTAAATGATCATTTAGATCCATTGCCAGCATAGGACTAAAGCCCGTTAGCAGCTAAATGGAGTACAAGAACCCACCCATACTGAATAGGAACTGCACTAGAAAACCAAAGCCTTTAGGTGCTCAGTAAAGAAGGTATCGTGCAAGATTCCCCTCCGTAAAAAAAAGGAAACAAGACATTGGATGTGATTACCACCTGAAAAGACGTAAATCTCCTAATAGAGAAATCACTATTTTAAATTGTGAGAAAATAGCCCTCGCATGAGACCTTCAAAAGCATTTTAAGATCTCGAACCTCGAAAAGGCCTTCGACTTCTAATCTTAAACATTCTAAAGTTACTTGAACTATTTTCCCGAAACCTGCACAATGCATAGGCAGCTGTGTTGCCAAGTGGTTCCGCACTGTTCTTTGCACGTGTTCTAGGCGTGTTTATGCCGTGTAGTGCCGTTATCCCCGTGAGCAGACCCAATAATGCAACAACAAAAAAATGTTGTCTTTCTTTTAAGACTTTCAAGAGCTGAAAAGCGAAAACTTTCGAAACATGAAGTTCAGACATTTCTTCTTCTATTTCAGGCGGATCTGTGGCCATATTTAGAGGAGGGAAGGAAGACCGCTGACACTTTCAGAGAGATACTGACGACAACCAAATGGAGCTCGTCGTCCTTCTCTGATCAGGAAATCCTCATTAAAAGTGCCGAAAATTCCAAAACCGGATGGAACATGTTCTACTTGGAAGTGAGATCATTCTGCTGTTTTTGAATCGATAGCCAATTTCAAGCCTCCATCATTCTTGAAGATGTTTTTCACGATCGGCATTTCCTTCTCGTAGATGGAGTTGGACATTCCCCCGTACGTCTTATTTCGATCCGACTGGGACACCGTTCCGGAAATTACGAAGTGGAATCCTCTTGTCTTGGAGAGTTCTGTTCCCTTGGTGAGGAATTCTTGCAAAGTCTGAGCGAAGAACATTGTGGATGCATTTAGATTCAACTAGATTTCGTTAAATGATCATTTTCTCTGCAGGATCTCACGCCCCACTGCCGAATAACTCATCAAGTGTCGGCCCCGATCGCGAACGGGCTCATCTGGAGCCGAGAGATCGTAGCGGTTGCTTGTTGGGAGAAGGAAGGCGACACGATTTACTCGTCCTATTCTAGCGTTGAGTGGCCTGGCATTCCCCCTGCTGACGATTATGTCAGGCAAGTCTTTCGCGATGAAGCCTCTTTTCGACTTTCATGGGGCACTTGGCGACCGCTCCCTAAGAGTGTCATGATTTGTCACCAGTCGCAATAACGTTCTTTTGGGGGTGTCACGACCACTCACAGGAAGGGTAGCTAAAAAGCAAGATTTTGACATTGTCTGATTTTTGTTTTAATACGAGCTACTAACTAGCTTTCTAGGTTGGGTAGTTAGGGGAAATCTCATTTTATTACAGAAAGCTTCATTTAATTTTGCAACATTTTTAGTTATCAATACATGTGTGACTACCGCCGTCCCAATAGCCCGTAAAGACTCATATATTAAAAGACGAATGAACCCTCGAAGCCATGAGCAACCGAATGACGTGGGTGAGGATGCGTCTCTTAGTAAATCATCCGGACGCAACGAGGAATTGCAATTGGGAACAAATCAGTGTGTTACCCGTAGTTTCGGGTGCAAACGATCAGCACGTAAATCAGCAGAGCTTGCTACCACGTACGTCGTAAAAAGTAGCATGCTTTAAATCGAATCGTGAGAGTGCATCCTCTTCACCCGGATGCAAGCATGTATGCCTGCTAATAATCCCCGATCAAGTATCAATTCAAGGCTTCTTAAAAGGTGACCTTGGAGATTTGATGACTCATCTGTCTCCGTTACAAATAAACACGATGACTCACAAAGGGAAGAGGTATCTATAATAGAACCACTTGCAGCATTTCATTCTGACTCATTCCTGCGGTGAAGTCGTTTTAGAATCCGGACTAAACCATTCAACATAATTTGTCATGAATTACACCTTCAACCAAGAAGGATCAGCTATCGAAGAAGTCGAAATAGACTTTCCCTTTTTGATTCTCGACGGGCGGGGGAGGCCTGACCATGCTTCCCACATTTACAGTTACCTTAGTCACAGTTACTCACAGTTACCTTAAATAACGCTTTTGCGGATTCCATGTGCTTATGTGAACCTTTGACATACAGACGGGTGATATGCTGATAGAACAGGGTTTCAAAAAGTCCAGATGATAAGAAATACTCGCACTCCATCAAATTGAGACCCTGAGCCACCAGATATTTATAAATCGTACTTGTATGAGTACCTGTATCTCACGTTCTGCCAGGGTTCCATATCGATGACCAATGATGAAAGATCCTTAGTCCTCTCGTGGCTGGTTTACTTCAATCGCGTGGAGGCGAGATGAGTAACCAAAGCCCTCAGTGGAAGTCTCCGGCAAGAACTATAGCGTTCATTCATATCATGGGGATTCCATTACTCTCACAAACTCGAACTGGAGAGATATCGCGGAGAAAGTATGGAATCTGGAGACGAGCGAATGCCCGACTAACTTACATCGTAACCCCGGGTGCCCGGATTCGCCTCTAATTCACATTTGATTCAATGAAAACTGATGGCTATTTGTAAGACTATTTGTATTTGGGTTTGGGGAATTTGTGTTTGTCTTTGATCCTTGGTCTTCTCGAAAACTGAAGTAGCGAAAAGGGAAATTTTTTCGGTTTGCTATCGTGTTGGTCATCAACCATCGTCGTAGTTGGTCCCGTTGTGCCCTCATAAACAGAAACATGTTTTCTTTGCAGGGCTATGCTGTATCCTCAGGGATTCGTCTATGCTCCCCTGGCAGGGAATCCGAATAAGACGCTCCTTACGTGGATTTACCATACGGACCTCCGATTGGCTTTCGTCCCAACCGCAATTCTCAACATAGTCCTCCCGAAAGGGTGCAAGGACAACTTTATCAACATTAGGAAACACGTAGAAGTCTTGAAGAAACAATTATAAACCTAAACAGTACCTGCTCTTCATCGTGAGAGAACTCACCTCAACTCAACTCACTCAACAGGATATGAACCATTCCGCAGCGGACTCCATCTTGTGTCCTCTGTTTTTGGTTACTTGAGTTCGACGAACTCAAGTGCAGTACCGCATTCCTGGATAGGGGTGCGGTACTCCAATACATGACTAATGCTTTGACAGTCCCCGTCGACGAGGAAACCCCAGACTAGATCTCACGCTTTCATTCTCCGCGAATTTAAACTAATTGTGAAATGTCACGCTGTAGTACGTTTTATGGCATTTGTCTTGTGTTGTTTCGAATGCAATCCGTATTTAATTCTAATTCTGCCTTTGATTTACTCGAAAGTGCGAATACGTTAAGAGAAATTCTAGAACAGAGTTAGGGAAGAAGTTGTCCACCAAGAGAAAGAACTCCATTCGTGACGAAAATCCGAGATTATCCCAGGAAGAAGGGAAGCAAGTCGGTGAAAGTTTCGCGATGGCCCGCAGCTTCTCCACTCTCTCTGGTTCCTCTTCAAGAGCTTCTCATGAGGTCGAATATGCCCAGTATGTAGTACAACTGATAAATGCATGGCAAGGGCCAGTTGGTCAAACCACGAAGGCACTCCACGAACTGTATTATTAGCGCGATTTAATTTTCTTTATTCCCATTTCCCCGCCTTTGCTAAGAGTTTCTCGCACATGAACAAGAAGGAATATCAAGAACTCCATCAATTTCGATGCGTTCGCGAAGCACTTACTCTAAAAGAAGAAGCCGACTGATGGGACACACGTTGAGACATGAAGGGATGCTGAAGACCATAATTGAGGGATGATAGAAGGAAAGAATTATAGAGGAAGACCTAGACTAGGGTATACACGACAGATCATACAAGATGTGGGTTGCAACTACAGAGAAATGAAAAGAATGGCAGAGTGGAGAGAGGAATGGAGAGCTGCAACAAACCAATCTAAGGATTGATGACTTGATGATGATGATTACTGTAAAATACACATGGAGCAGCCAAGACGAAAGTTCCCCTCTCCTCGGTTTCCATATCATTCAGACTGTTGCATTGCCCTCAAAAAGTTCCAAACCTAACAAGCCTGCAAACGGAACACCATGCGAGATAAGGATAGAAAATTTAGTGTCACACTCCGTTATTTGGGTTCGATATGTAGTGTTGGAACCCAAGTAGCAGTTATTTTTGGATGATGCCAATAGAACGGGACAAGAACGAAACGTCTAGAAATAGCATGTGATGATATCTGGGAGAAGCCCATGAGTAAGGACGTTCAATGGAGTAAACAAAAGGAAACACGGAGAGGAATTGAGTGGGGGAACAACATTAAAACGAGGATGCTTTCTACAGGATATGCTTGGTCATTTCAGCAGGTATCTTTCACTGTGATAAATATATAATCTGTACCACACTTCGAGTTCAGTGCAGGAGAAATGAAAAGCAAAAGTGAGGAGAACCCTAACCATTGAATGACCAGCTGCTTTATGCCATCTGCCGTAGTAATCATGCAGTCGCACAATCGCTCCTTACTGCCCACGTCACGGCCAGACTTTGCAAAAACGTTCCTCAAGGAAATAAACATCATGGATGAGTCTTCTCCTTTCCGCTGTCATGCATGTTATCGATGAAAACACGATAAAAACGACAGCACGTTCACTGGTTAAACATATCAGTAGTTGTGTTGCACACCTCAAGATAACGAAAGGCTCATGAAAAATGAAAGCCCACTTGTCATTTTCATGGCGTGTACAGGTATATACTGCGCACGTCTGCAGCAGATTACGTGTCGGAATAAAAAATGGCTCGTTTATGCCTGGGTACCTCTAAGAATCTCTGGGTTCTTGAAACAAGTTGTCCCTCTCTTTCCCTCTCACAGCATTTCCGGTAACGCCGAGGGAGCCTGACTTTCACTACAGAACAGTTAGTCTTCAGAACACGTTACCCTTCAATCCTCCTTGGGATGAAGTGCTAGCTTCAACCTTAAATTAGCATGACGTATTGAAGGTCCACAAATCTGAGACCTATATTTACATGGCTAACCTAATGTGCCCTGTCATGCAATATGCATTATGCATTAAGAAGTTCGCACGTCATTCAAATTCCGAACTTGGTATCGATCATCGATAGAGATAATAATTTTTTTTTTAATCACGAGATAATGCAGGCTACGTTCTAGGCCTTCAGTTCCTCAACCGTGTTCGCCAAAACGAACTTCTCTGGAATATAACGTTGCTATGTTGATCCGCTTTGGACTGGTTTTGTGCGGAACAGTTTCGCGGATTTTCTCGATCGGACTCTTGATTCTGCTCTTTTTTGATTGGGTAACCCTTACCATTACTTTGAAGCAAATTTGTGAACATCTGACGCGAGTATTTTATGAAATCATCCTCGTTCTGAGGTTTCACGGATAAAAAGCAGAGATAAAGTCGCTTTTAGAGCGTAGCTTTTTGTAATCCTGTACTTCAATTGTACTCCTTTTCAGTCGGCTTCATTTATGTTACTACGAATAGCTTGAAGGGTGACAAAAGCATTCATTCAAGGTAAAGGGAGTCCCGGAGGTGATGCCGTACTACTTTCATGCATTCAACACAGTCTGCTCATCATCATTCATTCTGTCCACAGTATTATGAAGTTCAAAAAGGCTTTTTCTTTGCGTTAGTACCACTTTGGAACGGTGCTTTTTGCCGAAATGCAGAAAAATTGCTTGAGAAATCATTTCCAACCTGAAGTTGGAAACGATTCCAGGGAACAGCAGATCCTAATCGTTAGCTTACCACCGACCAGCACGGCCAAAATGGTCTACAAGCATATATCAGGTGAAAAAAACTGGCCCCTTGTGATGTGTCACGTGACGCAGCCAAGTCTTGCGACTCCGAATCTGTCGGAAAAGATTTATTCCTCTTCTATTGAGGCAGAACAGATAACAGCCTAGCATGTCATGGTGATAGGATAAGAATAAATACACTCATCGGTGACTCAATGAGGACATGAACATAGAAGGTGAACGAGGTGATTTGAAAGAGCAAGCAGAATGGACTCAGATATTGCGCATACATTTCCTCTCTGAGAAGAAAAACAGGAAAATTTAGGAAGCCAGCTGCCCAGATGGCATTTCCTCTCCCACAAAGGTAGACGTGAAATTCTATTCAATATTTGTCAGTCCAGGTTGAACACGCTTGAAAGTGTGCTCGTTAACATATTCTCTCTCTAGGTGAGAAATCAGTGTTCGAACTATTGATCGATCGGTCACGAGATGAGTGTCCAGCTCTCTAACATGAAAACTGCGGAATCGAATAAAACTCGGGGAATGATGTCACGTTGCACTCGATAAAAGACACGTCTGATCGAAGCGCTGCTCATTTGATGTCATTTGCACGAACGGCAGCTGGAGCAAAGGAATGGGCTCGTACAAGGCAACTGTGAAACGCTTGGCTCGTGTCGTCTGCGTTCCATCCATTTCAACAATAACATTACATAAGCGGCGTTTCTTGCTCGTCGGTCAGCATCTTTACCGACAACTCGGGAGCTGACAGCGATTCAAATAAGCATTTTATACATACCATGAAACAGAGTAACTTCGCCTTGATTTTCATTTGGTTTTGGTTGGCACACCTGCTTTGTCGCTGGCTAATATGACTATGGGTCAAATGGGGTATTGAGCAATAACGTAAGCCATATCTTATTTCTAATTAAAAACCCTAGTTAACTTTTTTTTTTAATCATCTCCAATCAAAATTAGGCGTGGTGGTGGTTATCTCCAATCATCTCCAATAAGTGTGTTTAAAAAAATGTGGAAACCATTGAAGCAATAACCATCTTCATTTTTATTTATTCATTCTAAGGAGCTGCCGGTGAAAAACACCACAGAGTGACCTGATCGAATGTGCCTACCAAAGCACTTTCTGCAAAGTTTATTTTACTATAATACAACCTTACTGTAATACAGGGTTCAGTCTTTTCCCTGTGATTCCAAATCCCGCGATAGTTAAGATGCGCTTATGCAATGTCGAAGATAAATGATACTACTCTTCCTCGATCGAATACAATTAAATAAGGGGAAGCACGACCGATAGTTTCTACGCAACAATTCCCGAATCGTACGGAGTAAAAAATTGCAATTGCGCGTGCATAATTTACCATCACATGTAAATATCCTTTGAGCAGGGAGATAAAACATGAAGCAAAATTCTTGGCAATGTGACATTGAAAAGAGCAGACGCGGAGCCAAGAACGGGACAGCTGGAGTTGAGATGTTTGGACAGCATGATCATCCAACAGATCATCCACCAGATCCAGCCAAGGATTCAAATTGTGAAACTAACATCAGAGCCAAAAAAAATTACTCGTCTGATAGTGTTGAACCATCGAGCAGAATATTCCAAAAACATGTCTTTCAGGAAAGAAGGCTGACCTTTTCCTCGCACTGGTATCTCAAAGGAACAAAAAAGCCTTTAAAGCGATAAGAAACTAAGAGTTCACTGCTCACGTAAGCCAAGCATCGTTTCTTGAATGAAAAACGGCTAATGACCATTTTTCAGATGAAATTGAGAGTTTGAGAGAGGGGGGATCCCCAATTAAATTTCCAACCCTGATGGGAATTTAATTTTCTCGACACCTACGGCGTTCTGCTTGCAAAAATTCCCCAGCTTTCCAGTCGCCAACTTGGGTCTTGGGCTAAAAAAAAAAAAAAAACTATTTTGAAAAAAAACAAAGAGGGTGTAGTTAAATTGCTATTTCTCTAGCCACATTTGATAGAAACCATTGTTTCCCTCTCCCTCTGCGGATGAGGCTGCTAGCTACCTGCCAAGGTACCGATCCCTTCGAAGGACAATGGAAAGAGCTCTGGAAACTGCTCAATGCCATAAACAAATTCTCGAACCTTGTGTGAAATATCCATCCCTGATTCACTCAGAATGAGTCAGAAGGGACACAATTTTTCTTCATTTCGACGATGGGGAGGAAGGTGTCAGTAGAATGTTGAAATTAGGGCCTGACGAGCCAAAAATTTTTTCTATCGTGCCCTTTGATATTGCATGTCGATAGGGGGCACTGTGATCACATATCCATAGGTAAACATAGAAGAAGGTTAATACAGTTCGCGTCAAAATTAACATACCAGGGTTATCTCTTATTCAACGAGAGATGTAGGAAAACCTTTTATATCACCAGAAAGTACATACAGAGTATAATCGCCCTACGCTTCGACTACAGCGCGTAATCGGCCAATCGGGATCGAGTCTGCCAATTTTTTGGCGAATTCTTCACTCAGATTATCTCACTCCTTAATCTCTGCGCTTAATATCTCGATCGTTCCGGGGCGCCGATGCGCCACTTTGACCTTCAAGAGAGCCCACACATTCTCTATGGGGTTGAGGTCGGGAAACTGCGACGGCCACTCCAAACGGAACACCCCATTCTCAACCCTCCAGTTGGTCGCCTGCTTTGAGATGTGCTTTGGATCGTTGTCCTCCTGTAGCACACAAGTCATCATTGAATCGGGAAACATAGTAGCTGCAGAAGGCAAGAGGGCACGCTCATAAATGGTCTTCAGCAGATGCACATCCTGAGTCTGGGTGAAGGTGCAGATTTTCCCAATCCCTGCAGCATAGAAGCAGCCCCAAGCATGCACCTTACTCAGGTATTTGACAGTCCGAACGATCACTCTTTTCCCTCCACCATTCCCATCTGTCGATTTATTTTACGCCAACCAGCCTTCGCTGGCTTTGAGATCTTTTTGTACTTTGCGATGGTGCTGAAGAGAGCTTCGGACGAAAGGGATGAGCGGCATGAAATCAATCTCGTAGCGATTCTTCATTGAAAGTAGCATTTTTCCTCATGTCGATGAAAAATAGCTGCGTAACTGGAATGTAAAGAACTAGAGTCACCCATTTTTTTTAGGTGGATCAGCACTCATGGGCAGCTGTCTTATGCAAAACGTTTGAGCCGCGTAGGTTCCCTATCTTTCGAGAAAACCCTGGTACGTTAATTTCGACGATCACTGTACATAAAGAATTACGTGTGGCATTCGCAAGACTCAGGGCAACATACCTAATCGCACAGTGAAGCAACGTGTCGAATTAATTGGGTGTTATTACCATAACGGAAATACAGTAACGACTTAGTTCTTTCTGATGCACCATGCCGGTGAACGCTGATTCAAACAACATGAAGATCCTCCAACCAAAACAGTCTCAGAGGCTCCTGCATGATATACACAAAGGAAAAATACAATTAAACTCAATGGACCATTTTGCTGGTGGGCATGGAAAGGATTATAGCAAAACTAGTTTTTGCTCGGTGACCTTCACCTTTGACCTCTAGAAATTAAGGTCGATCGACTCAGATGAGTCTCTGTTCTGTGTAGCACGTCGGGAACAAATGCTACCTTTCACCTCCAGAAAATCAGAGCGTGCAACTATTTTGAGGCCACGATGAATAATGCTACCCGTCAAGTTTCCGAGCAGTGCCTGAAAGACTGCTTCTACAGAGGCACCAAGATGAGTCACGTAGCGACGTATGAATAAGGTGCATCGAAAAAGCAAAAAAGGTAGATCGATGAACTCAGCCAAATGACTTATCTCTTAACGATGCTTAAGCACACGAAACATATGACTATAGGCCTATAGGGGGATTCTCGGACAATTCTCAGATTTGTCCAGTAATCTCACCAATGAGATAAAGCACTACGAGTTGGGTTCCTCTTGGTTTCCTATTTCTCCCCGACGCAGTACATGGGGAATTTTTTTTTCTGGAAGTGACAAAGATTAGCGTTCTTTCCTGCACGTGCACCAACACTCAGCACTTTTTCCTTTTTTTCTGTCAGTGACAGTGACGAAAGCGTGACTCCAATGCAAAAAACGGATCTGGGAATGCAAACACGAGCGAAATTTCTTGCTGAAGCTCATCGCACTTCTTTGCTGGCACAAGCCCTAGAAAGGTGATGGGGGAAACGGGATGGATTGCGCTTCTGAGTCTCCTCGCACTTCTCTCTCCAGACGTGGAAGGGGTGAAGATTATTATCGCCCGAGTGAATAAAACCTCCACCTCGAACACTACTTCTCCCTCCACCATCGACCGTAAGTTTCCCATTCTCTCTCGTTTTCTTCCCCTTTTGCGATGAACAATTTTCCATTCCATTTCTATCCAGACCGCTCGTTAGACAGCATTGCTGGGTTCAAAGTAGTCAGTCTCACAAAGAGAAAAAATCATACCTACACTACATTAACATGAAAAGTAATTTTACTGAACAAAGGGTTTGAAGTACACTTCGATTGAGACATTACATGACTATATTGTTTCGATACGAACTTAAGTTTTGGAGCAACTTTTGTTAGTTGACATCTCAGAAATTCCGAACCTGTAATTTTTCTTGGGAGAGGGTGGGGGAGGGGGGACGGAACGGAAGAGCTCCTAGACAGGAACCTGTCTTGACCGGTTACAGCAGCCAAACTTAGAAATTCCAGCGCACTTATGACGACCCGAAAGGAATTTTGCTGGTTCTCTCTACGGAATGTCACTGCTGCTCGGAACATTCAGTGTAGATGCATGATCACTTTCTGCGTAATCTTATGGATACATTTCATTTTAGTCTAGGAAAAATGTACTTGTTAGAGTATGTGTCTTTCGTTTCTTCCTAAATTTAACCTAAAGCAGTTGTAAATAATGTCCGAGTTGCCTATACCCTTTTGCTGTTGCTGTGTCCCCTGATAACCCCACCTCCGTGCCTTGCCTTCTCATTCACCACCCTGGCTTATTCTGGCAAAGAATCACAGGTATTTTCGAACACTTTCTTTCTCTATAGAAGTACATGCAAATATTCTACGAGGAAAGAAAGAAGGTAAGTAAGCGCGAAAATTCCTTCAACGTGCTTGTAACCGGGCGACTTGATACGATATGCATAACCAACAGCAATGGGGAAAACAGTTCAGAATGAAGTGAGCACTCCCATAGTCTCATCTAGCAATAAATTCGAAAGCTTTCGAATGGGGTTTGGCATGTAATTATGTTTTGGTGAAATATGCAGTAACAGGTAACCAGAGGAATGACGGAGCCAAAATGTGCGGAGAGACACCCGGAGACTCCTCGATCTCTATGGTCCAGAGATGGATGTCCTGGCTCTTGGGATCAAGCTCCGGTTTCCAAGGCCGACAATACGTCCTCCGCGAAGACGACGGAGGGATCGTGACCCAGGGCCAAAACGTCTCCCAGGGTCAAGCACCATTCGTGTGTCTCATCAAGGTCACCAGGACGGATGCGAAAACCTATGGGTACAGCGGTTGCATCATCAGTCCGCAATGGGTTCTCACCACAGCCTCCGCTCTGCAAGGGTCAGTTTCTTTCACCCAATCTTCTATGATTATTCTTGTTCTTTCATTCCAATTCGGGAAGTGAAATTCGTCGAAAACTTTTAGAACTGTATTACCTGATGTTCCTGCCCGAATATGAAAATCATTCCGCTATGCATTGTCCCACATAGACGAACAGCTGTCTCGATCGTAGTTGGGTCTCGCACGTACGATTCCGGAGGACAAACTTTCACTGTTGACCCCACGAACATCAAGATCCATGAAAACTTCAGCTACTCAGACTCTGGTCAGTCCTGTTTCTCATCCTTTATCTTATGGAGTTGAGAACTGGATCGTGAATTCGTGTGCATTAAACATTCATTTTGCATTTTTCTCAATCTAAAAAATGTGCATGGTATATATTTCTTTCCTCGGCACTCGTTTATATTACACGACATGCTAGACTAATTTGCATCTAGTATAGTGCATGGCAAAGATCATCTAGGTCTTGTCGTTTTCAGTTTTTTAAATCCATCCATGCCTTAACTCCCTGGGCAACAAAATGTCTCAAATCAGGAACTGTTATCTATACTATTTCAAATATGAATTGCTTCATGTCAATGAATTACGACTGGTACGAGATAATTCCGAGTTCCAATTCCTTCTCTGTTCTTTTACATCTTTGTGAATGGACTCGACATGGGTTCTCATGGGACATATTGCAGAGATATTTAAACATTCCAAAGGGAGGATCGAGATGATATTATTTTCTGACGATAATATATTCATGAGGAATAGGTCTGCCTGAAAAGCAACATTAGTCAAATTTTTAACAGACACTCAGGAATAATTGTGAGCTGGAATCCTTTGCTCACTAACAGACTCAAGAAAGATACATACAAAGAGGCCTACAACATTGATAAGTATTTACAATTTACATGTTTACATATAGATGCGTCGATGTTTAAATATTTGATAGTATGCACTTATTGGACTCGCTTAAATTTGTGGAATTCAAATATTCCAAAGGAAAATTTATTACAAGGCAAAAGAAAGTGGTGAAAAGTGGGAGGAAACATGACTACTTATTGATTTACAATCTGTAGCAAAGCAATATCACGATGTCATTCACCATGCAGCCACTGAAGGCTCTGAAAACTGAAAAAAGCGATGCCAAGTAAAGATAAACCAAACGGAAGAGCAGTTTGTCCTCCGAGGAAACGTCATCAAAGGGAAAATCCATCCTCGGTCATCTGTCATCTATGGCTGTCCCATCGGCTTGGAGTAGGCAATATGCCGCATGAAAGGGATGGAAACTTTCTCTCAGGCTGTACTTACCAGGTCGGTCATCACGGCATGAGAAAACGAGCGAGCAAAAGGAGTAGACCGTGATTTTGGGCTACTGGGAACCGAAAGCTTTTCTTTCTGAGGACAATTTTTCCTACTGAACAATAATTTTAACAGAAATTACTTTTATTGTCGGAAAATTTTATTTTATTCTGAAAGTCTGAGAAATTGGATCATAACAGCAATTAGCAAATACGCCTTTGCAAAATGCCTTCATTGTATTTCTGTCTTTCTGACTCATCCACACAGGTTCCTACGGCGATGGGTATGACATAGCCCTGATTAAGGTGAATGGAAAGTTCAGTTGGAGCAACGACGTTCAACCCGCGTGCGTGCCGACCGACGACCAGTTCTCCACCATTGCTACTCGACCCAATTACATCTACGGCTGGGGTTACTCATCATCCGGTGAGTCGTGTTCATGCAAGTTTTAGGCTCGTACCACAACAATGCATCGTATGCACTTCTTGAGGGATTGACAGCAAAACATTTCTTAAGGAGGCTAACAGCTGTGGGATAGCATCCTCTTACGTGCAGAGTAGACCCAAAATACGCTCAATCGTTTCCAAGGATTCTTTTACGGTGCTGAAGCTGGTTTCTGGATGCAAAGAAGGAAATTTAAACAGACTTTCCTTTTTTTCTGAAAAAGAATAAAGACTAAGTGAGAAGGAAAAAAGGAACATGAATAGCATTTTATCAGGTTTTCTTTTGAAAGCATGACGAACAGAAAACAGTTCCTTCAGATCTCCCCAGGGAAAGAAAATTCTAGAGGGAAAATGTAAGGGGAATATCAAGGCCTTTCTTGAAGACCTCGCAAGGAGATGACTCGGTGTCGAAGGACATGCTGCAAACAGTTTCTTGAAGCTGTCCGCAAAGAGTGTTGAAACTAGAATTTGGAGTCAACAACGTCCTTGCTGGATCTTCAAGGCTGGAAAGTAGTATACCAGCAGAACGTGTTGACATGTTGCAGAAGACATAACGATGGCATGTCCTTTTTAGACGTCGGCAAAACATGACCCAATTACCTCCATAGGTCCCCAAGTACACCATGTTTTGCTTTCTCCCCCCTTGCGCGAAATCCCCAGGATACATGAGGGTTCTAATTGGTTTAGAAGTGCATCTTGCGATTAACGTGGTCAGAGAGATAGATGTTAACTTTACCACTGAAGTGTTAGTCCAGCAGGAAATTCGGTCCTGAATTAGGACTTTTGGAGATCACGAGGAGATGGACGACATCTGCTTGTCATGCTGGTTGAACTCATCCATCAGTGACAGGACTGCTGGTGTGCTTTATTTTACTTAATTGGATTAATCACGAGCTATTGATTAATTTGTCAATGAATTGGACATAAGTCGTACCCCTACTTCGCTCCCCGAAAACGGCAAATGAAAGATAACGTAGCATTACAAATTCATTGAGAGCAGCCGTTACTGTCTCGCACATCTAACGTCAATACGTGCACGGAATCGGGTATGCGCTAGTGGAGGGATCCTTGGCTTTGGACCCGTTAAAGACAACGGTGATGGTAGTCTGTGCTGTCTGCTTTCCACTATGTATCCAGGGAGCATCTAAAAAAAAGAGGACAAAATAGACAGTCGTGTGTTGTGCACTGGAGTGGAGGAAGAAGCAGGGAATCGTTCTTCATTTTTCTATCACTTTCTTTCCTCTTTCTTTCTTCCTTTCGTCCTTTCACCTTTCTTTCCTTTTGTCTTTTGACTATGCCTCATCCCGATCATTCGAGATGATCCTGAGACAGCATTCCATATTATTGGCACCATCGCCTTTCGAATTCGCCAAACAAATTTTGACAAATCTATCATGTTCGGACGCCACAGTTTCCTCGTGGTTTCATCGTCTAATAGCTCGAAAAATAAATATAGCGATTAGGGCGGCCGCGCACCAACGCGGATCGGAGCGGAGCGAATTTTTTTCAGCTAGAGTTATGTTTCACTGCTTTCAGTAACCGCGTAGATTAAAGCAGATCCAAGCGAACTGGAAAGGACTTTTTCCATTCGGTCGGGGAGTTTTCTCATAGAATTTGATGTGAAAGCTGTTATCCACGAAAGGACGGATATGTATGACATGGCATGCAGTCGATGAGGATCAGCTCCGCTTGAATTTAGGCGTAAAATCTGGCCCTAATTCGAAACGATTCTCACCGATCCGCGTTAGTGCGCAGACTCGTGCGAGCACGAGTTGAGCCGCGATTACAAGGAGATTAAAACATTCAATCTTGGATAAACGGGAATTCAAAACATCCCGTCTTAAGGCGTACGGACGAGACAGAGGATAGAAGGAGATGAAAAGGATATTCAGATGCAGGCAAAGAAAGAAAATTCATGTTAAGGAGGAAAATACTGTTTACTCTATGACCTCGATCTCTCCGCCTGCATCACGATGCGCTTTTACGAGCTACGTGCTGATCTGGATAAACAGGATAGACTTTTTCTCTACTGTTATCCCCATCATGTCCACTGTCCATTCATGTTTACCCAATTCCTCTCACGTATTTCAACTGGGCAGGGCAGCAGGAACCGCTCAGATAAAAACTTGTAGGGTGGTTTTCTGTCTCCTCAGGAAGCCTTCACTTCTTTTTGCAGCATCTGAAGAGCATTGTCTTTGCTCTTGTCCTTCCCTTTTCTTAAAGAAAGACCGAATATTCATATGCTAAAGAGTGAATCATTCAAGAACGACTGCCAACAGCAAGCTATAATTTCATCGTATTCCAGTCGCTAAAAATTAATATTTTATCTTTCGACAAAACTGCGCTATGCGATGAAATTAGAAGGAAAACAAACATACAGGGAGAGGCTTGAAGGTCTATTGAAATTCGATCAATTTCGAGTACTTTTTGAAACGCGATTAAAGCTTCAATCAATTAAATTTGGCAGCCTTATTAAGGACCCAGGTGCTGATCTGCATATGAAATTCGCATGCGTCAAGTGCAGAGTAGCAGAAAATGACTTCCCTACGATGTAGGTAATGTGCAAATTAATACTACAGGAGCACTACAGAAAGGTATACCTCGTATACCAGCAGGGAATGCGTTTCATTCTCATTCTTACCTTGCCATCAATAATCAGCGCGTTCACAACTCTGACAACTGGATCAAGGTAGCTCCGAAGTAATACGGCAGAAGATCTGTCAGCAGCATCCCGAGCTGTTCGAAAGGTCACATACCTGTATACTGTATAATACGGTGCATGAATCGCTTAAGTCGCTGCCATCCGGCAAGAGAAATGCATGGCCAGAGGATTACCCCACACCGCGAAAACCACAACCCAAGTGACAAGTTTGACCTGAAACTCATGCGCAACATTGTATGTTCTCTACTTGCTCACGCCTTCAAAAAGAATACCGATTCGCAATGTCATGAGAAGCACAAATTTCCTTAGGATTCATGGGTGATCTGAGACTTTCCTTATGTCCTTCGTGAAGGTTTTGTACGTTTCCATATTGTCTTGATAGCGAAACTCTTCACAGTATTCCATGCTAGTACCTGCTTCCCTGGGTAAATTGAAAAGGAAATCCACCTAACTTACAGGTATGAGCTCTTTCACTCATGTCAGTCATTTACGACGAAAACCTGCTGCTGAGTGAGACGTGGCATGACGAAGAGAGACTGTTTTTCCTCCACCTTTCCAGTTGCAATATTGTGAGATAAGGATTATAGGGAGGAAGTGTCAAGAAATAGAGACTTCAAAAATAACGGAATGAGTTAAAAATCCCCATCCCTATTTTAATTCTTTCAACTTCGAGCTTTTCCCATATACCGATTCTCCCATGGAATTTGACGGAAAATTTTTTCTGCTCAGTATGGAACATCTTTTCCGCTTTGTTATATATCACAACAATGATCGTGTGGGCAATAAGCTGCTAGCCGCGAAGCTCCATTCTTCCACAATGCCGTTCGCATCTATCATTAAAAGAACAGGGCCTATGGTATTATTGATATGCCATGTATGCTACTGCAGGAGGAGTTGCATCGACGACCTGCAAGCAAGTCCAGGTGAAGATGCAAGAGAGTGCCACATGCTCAGCTTCCGCAGCCGTGTCTGGATCCAGCTTCGTCTGCGCTGTTGGCACCCGCGGACAATGCGCTGTGAGTCCAGGAGAAAAATAAAAACAACCATGTCAGCAATAATTATTCGTACAATCGTGCAATTTTTAGCCATCAAAGGTCCCAATTCGCTCAAGCGAAAATCATTTGGGCTCTTGTACCTGTGACTTCATTCACATAAAGCAAGAAAGGGGGGGGAAGACTGTCCTTGCGCCTGTCATGCCTATAATGTTGTATCTATACAGGGTAGAAGTGGGGGAGGCCCAGTTTGCACGAGATACGGGAATGGACGTTACTACGTTACCGGAATGGAATCTTATAGCTCCTTCTCCTGCACCGGGTCGAGTTCATCGAGTGTGTTCACCCGGTCTTCTTCCTATGCCGATTGGATAAGTGACACCATTAAAGCGAATGGCGGGAGAGGATGCGACGACAACAATGATGGAATGTGTGATGGCGGAGAAAGTGGCTGAAAACTCATCTTTGAGGATCCACGACTGGGGGAGCATGTTGAAAATGCCCCAAAATGAGAATAAAAGTGGAAAAGTCTGTTCCTGCAAAATCAACTTTGATCCTCATTCTCATTTAATTAGTTGTAACACCGAATTATTTTGCAAACAATCCCCCTCGAAATGTATTAGTTATAGGATAGTAAGTAGGGCACCATCCAGAATGATGGCAATATTCATTGTGAAAGTGATGAATGCATTGGAACAGAAGTGCTGCTGGACATGAGTGATCTGTGCGAGTACTCAGATGCTAGAGGATAGAAGGAAGTTCCAACACTGTTTTGCCTCCACCTTCGTCTTAAACCTCGAAATTCGGAATAAGCAAGAAAAGTCACCATATTGATTCTAAGTTATTCATCGATCATTAGTTGAAAAAAGCTCATCCAAACCACTTGCAAGAAAGGGCTAACCTGAAGAATTATGTTCCTTATTATAGAGACATATTGTGGTCCTCTATCAACAACACCTCCGTGAGGTATGGCAGCGGAATCAGGATTCGACTCGTTCAGGGGATTCGACCCATAGGGAGTCTCTCAATGGAATGCCAGTGTCTCATTGAGTCCGCTGCTTGGCCACGGAGGAGTTATTGACTTGTGTCCGCCAGGTAGACAGATCGACTGAGACATCTACATTGCGACCTTGTCGATGTGTCGATGTCTTTGTCAATGACCCTCTGTCGGATTCGAGTAGGGTGTCGCCTCTGGTTGCACTCTCTACTCTCGGGCTGTAACTGAAAGTACTTTCGATTGAGTACTTCCAAGCTGAGAGGTAGAACAGATGACTCACAAAACGAAATCATTCACTCCAGCGCATCATCAATATCGAGAAAATGAGGAACCAATATCAAGACGTTTACAATTCAATGCTGACACAACGTGACACATGACCATATTTGCAATATTGAACTGTGTTTCATTTCAGAATTGCTGTAACATTGAATCAACCTTTTA